ATAATATAAGAATAATGAGATATAATAAAAAAATAAATAAACAATAAAACAATATGAGAATAAAGTTAAATTAAAATTTAATGTATAAAATCTAAAAAATTAAATATAAAATAAATATACTATTAAGGATCATATGATAACGTTATGCTGCATTTACAGTAATATTCTTATTATTATTATTATTCTACCTTTAAACTGCCACAGTTGAGCACCAGATATGTGGAGAGCGCATTCAATTTTCTTTGTAAGAATCTGCTCCTTATTAGTTGCTTGAACCATATTGGAGTACTTTGAGTTGTATAAGTTCTGAGACGTAAGTTTCTTGTTATGTCAAAGCCAAATAAATAGTGATTAAAATCTACTTTGTTCCCACAAATGTAGTTTTTTGCATGATGCAGTCCAAATCGATATAAATAAGCTGGAGTTGGTCTATGGTCTGTTAATAAAAGTTTTATGGCCTGGCTTGTTGCTATTAAGTTTCTTGAAGGGGTTGGTAGGAAAATATGAGTTCTTCTGCCTGCGTCTGCTACGGTCCAGTTGGATTTCCAGGTTAAGAGTAAATCTCATTCTAGTATTAATTTGAGGAATGGTATCAGATATGGTATAAACGTAAGCGTAAAGATGGTACAGGTTAATGAACAGCAATATATGTATTGCTGGGAACTGTAAAGACAGAAAACAGATTCAGTAGTCGTCAGGGCTTAATTTCTAAGATTAGAAATGCCGGAGCCCTATGGAAGATTGTCAGCAAAGAGGAACAAGAGTAAATAAATAAATAAAATGACTATTAAACTCATTAATAATTTTTAAATTAAAGAGTTAATTATTATCAAATTAATTATAAATTGTTATTTAACCAATAATTATTATATAATTCATTAATTATAATTTAATTGGTAATTATTAGATAATTTATTATTATTTATTGAAATAATTAAAGATTAAAGTAATTAAATAATTAAAATTAAATAAAATGTAAAGAGATAAATTGAAATTTAATACGCGGTTTTTAATATAATTTTATTGTTAAAATAAAATTTTCAAGATAAAATTTCTACTGAAATTGTTATTCAATTACATAAAAGAAGTGCCGCAGCCTTCTAATTATCAGGGCTCCAGTGTGCGTTCCGGACTAGAATTATGATTTATTACAGAAACTAAGAAGCATCCGAAGAGCCGAGACCCGGTGGGCTCTGGCCCAATTTAAGCTCTGATCGTAGGGGGAAAGTTCTTTTATCATCACAAAAAAGTTAAATATACTTAAATTATAGCTGATGAAAATTCTATAAAAAGGGGGCAAAACAGAATGAGGGCGGAGGGTATGAGTGGGTGGAAACAAAAAATGAGGGGAATCTTGGTGAGAGAGAACGTTCTCTTTGACCGCGGCTCTCTGCTGATATAATTATAGCCATAAAGCAGATGTGTGTAAGGGGTAAAATAAGTCCTGAATCTGACTCCTAAGGATGAATGTAAAGTTGCTGGTTACGCTTCCCCCCACTAGTGGATACTATGGGAAGACGATGTATAGGACGTGCTTCAGCAGTTTATCTCAGTATTTCACTCTTATTGTACTCGCTGTCACTTAACGCACATTTAAGAACACAAATTTTCCTTCCTGCGAGGATAACTAACTGTAAGCATCAATAACAATACACTAGATACGATGGCATGGCAAAAAATTTACGCGTTCCTAAACAACCCCCCCCCCAAATTTATTTCTTTTCTTAAAGGGAAAGTTTTTCGCATGTGAGTGAGGGGAATTGAACGTCTCATGTTCTCATGAGTTCGGATTTCTAGAGAAATAGAGTATTGCAAAGTCTGCTTCTTGTTAAACTAAAACGTTAGGAATTCTAAATTTTTCCCCTTTAAATTGTGGTTCAGTTTTATAAAGAGAAGTACCGGGGCTCATCTTTCTTATTTAGGGCTCCGGTGGGCTCCGGCGCAATTTAAGCACTGGTAGTCGTCCGAATTTGCGTCAATAAAACATACCTTGGATTATAATAGACATCTCATAAGACTGTGTAATAAATTACAGGCAGGAAAACTCCGTTGTCTCTCAAAATCACGTAGTGTTCGTGGGACCATCTACTAGAAACTATAGCTGAGATGGGATCCATTACTGAGAGTTAGTGAAGAAAAGTATTCACTTTGGGAAACAGAGTTTTTTAGATAACAGATATATAACACTGTCTTTGAAATGGGACGGGATTTGTTTCCAAATCGTCCACTGCTCAATGATAGTTATCGGAAAGGTCATCGATGACCATAATCTAGTAACACATGACACTGGTCACAGTTTTGACGTAACCTGACCGTCTACCCGGACTTTTGATATAGGAAATACTCAAAACATTTTTATTCGCAAACGCCCACACGCTTTTGTTAATTCGAAATCACGAATTACAGAGCTTTTTACTTCTGATCCACACAATCTGCTCGTTGTCAAAAACTCTTAATTGTTCTATAGTTGTTGATCAGATATTAAACTGTATGATCTCATTGCATGATTATCGATAACTTAATTCTTCCTCTATCATATAAACATGCAAACTGAAACATGAGTCCAGTGTTTCTTCATGGGCAGGTGGGAGATTTTACTTCTAGAGATATCTTAGAATTTCTGCTAGCGATCTGGTAATAGTAGTTTCTACCTTAAAACCAGAGCCCACCAGCGGCCGAGCGGTAAAGTCGCTAAACACTGGTAGTTCGGTCCGAGGTTCGAATCCCGCGAACGGGCTGGCTTCATGGGCGTTTTCGTGGTTTTTCCCATGTGTAACATGTATGCGATCCAGTTTCCCTTAGTCCTCCACGAAGGCATCCCTCCCCTTAGGCAGATAGCCCTAGTCTGCTTTACCGTAATTAAATACACCAAATACACTTTAAAACCAGAAATGTGTTTCATTGAGAGAGCTCAAATTTCCACAAACTGCCATGACAAAAGAGTATTTTCTTAATTTTATTGCCAAAATACCCCTTATACTTTATACGTGGAGTTATGTACTTTTAATACATGTCCTTAATTTCTTGGAGATATTTCAAGATGCACGTACAAATGTGTTCTTATAGACATCACAAAGAATTCTCGAGGCCGTATATATACGGTTTTTTCTGGTTAACTTGACCTGAGATATAACCAGATAAAAAGGGATACACATAAAACAAATACAACACAATAGTACCTAAAAAAAATCTACATTCAAAGCCAAATTCATTTTTTAAGAACACTTTGAAAACTGAAACATATGCTATTTGTTCCCATATCATTATCACAGGAGGAGGAAAAACAAAGTTTATCAAATTAGGTACTGATTAAACTAAATAGGCAGAAGGCTTAGCTATATATCTTACACCTATGTAGATAAATATCAAAAAGTAAATGTCGGAACGAAAAGAAATAAAATTTTATTCCTTCTATATGAAGGAACCTTTCTTCTCCGGATGCAAAATTACCAAAATGAATAATTGTAAATTAATGAAACTTTAAAAAACAGAATATTTAACTGACAAATAATATGAGAAAAGAGAAACTTTTTTAAAAAAATTACTGAACATTATAAATAATAAAACAAAAACCTTTTTTTATTAATTTCCTCTGTTTAACTCTTCAAACAGAACTTGCCAAGGGAAAAGTGTTTTGAAGCCTTAAACCAAGTTGATTAGATATATGGATAGGTAAATGGAAAGATAATTAGGTATATGAATAGAAAAATAGATAGATACGATGTCCAGTTTAAAATTTGTTCGTATTTATTTATTTAGAACGTCTGGCCCACCTGACGAGAAATTCTCGTCTTATGGCACGAAGGAGCTGCGCCCATAAATGTTTAATGCATTGTTGCATGAAATTAATAAATAAAATAAACAAATGCGCTATAAATGCCCATAATTGTTTTCGTATGTATATGTTACCGTAAAAGATCGAAATCTGCGGAATGTTGACATTCTGCGGTGATTGAGAACATTCACATAGTCTCTTGGTGCATGCCCGAAATATTTGCTAAATATTTCTATTTCTCACTTACACTGGGAAATGTCAACATTCACCATGCACTGATGCTGAATGTTGAATAAAACTATTTTTTTTTTTTTTTTTTTGTGTGTGTGTGTGTATGTGTGTTTTTAAATGATACTTTATTCTTAAAATATGTTATGGTGTACTATGTCAAAATAGGAGAAAGCTTAAGTGAATGCACATGTAAATAAACTGTTGAACTTTTAAAACGGATAGTACATTCTAAAGCAGAAAAGAAAATAATACCAATAATAAATGTTCTTAATTATGTGATTGACGTTATACAATGTTATTTACTACAATACAACAGTCCTTTGCTTTTACAACGCCTCTCTGTCTATCTTCGCGGCTTCTCTTTTTGACCTCCACAGCATATCTGTGCTTGTCGGTATACACCGGTGATGGTCCGAATGTATGAGAAAACAACTATATTTTCGGTGTTTCACCGGCGTGTTTGGTATGTATTGACATTCATCAGAGAATGTCGACATTCTCCAATTTCATTCTTTCACGGTAACATATATATAAAATGCTGAAAGTAAGCCAAAAAATTTCAGTTCCTTTTTTTTTTTTTTTTTTTTTTTTTAAGATACTTAGACAATTTCTTTATGTCTAAGTGTTATAACTAAACAAGTAACATCATTAAGAAAAATTGTCTTTTTTCAATGCAATTAAATGGTATCTATAATATTAACACTAAAATACGTAATTACGTGTGAGTATTTATAATATTAACACTAAAATCACTAAAATACGTAATTACGTGTGAGTATAATATTAACACTAAAATACGCAATTAAGTGTATTACATAATCGAGTTCGTATTTTAATAGCAAATTCCTTTAAATTGCTCGTGTTTCATTATGAACTGTAAAATATTTATTTATGTTCTTCGTTCTAAATCCGTTTTTATTGCAAGTTAAAATGACATCAAATTTTTTATAAAAATATTTTCAGTCTAAAATCAAATGAATTTTTTGAATTTCAGAGGAGCTGTTGATTTTTTCAACCAATTCATGGGCATCATAATAACGTCCGAATCTTATGAAGCTTCTCTGCTCAGTTTCCTTTGGTACGTAAAACAGTGCGGTGGAACTATGAGAATATTGTCGACTACCAATGGCGGGCAGGTAAGCAAATTAGCATTTACAGCTTATATATGTGTATACATGGGTAACAATGTGGATATTTGTGGGGACACATGCGCGTTAAAAAGCTGTTATACTAATAACATTTTTTATTGTAACGATTAGTCTGTAGGGCCATTAGGATTTTTTGATGCAGGAGACGTGAAAAATGAGCAATTACCTCGCCGGAACTCGAACTCGAACCTGCACCTCTTGAACTCTCGCCGGGTGTGCTAGCGTTACACCACGAAAGCACGCAGAAAGGAGGGAGAAAATACCTTATATATTCCCCCCTTTTAAAGGGTGACTGGGTATTAGGGAACCTAAGCGCCAAATCATGGTGGGGAAGAATCATCATACACCACCTTTTAGTTAGGGCGCCACTGTAGGTACCTTAGGTTATTGTGATGCTGGAAACGTTAAAAATGAGCAATGGCTTCACCGAGACTCGAACCTGGAGCTCTCGAATGCGCGCCGAGTGTGCTACCGTTACACCGCGAAGGCATGCTGAAAGGAGGGAGAAATTACCTTTTAACTCTACAAGGCATTTTCTTCCTCCTTCCCGCATACCTTCGTGGTGTAAGTAGAAGTACACTCGACGCGTATTCAGGAGGTCTGGAGTTCGAATCTCTTCGAGGGCATTGCTAGTAAAAAATATATAATTTTTAACATTATGAGAGAGAGCTGATCATATATAAAATACTAATAGAAGGCAATACTTTAACATTACATAATAATCATTTATTTCAAAACAAGCCCGGAAACCATAGGTGGTCTTTTTTTACTTCAACATCGTAAACGAAACTAACATTCCTTTTTAAGAAGAGAAGCACCCTCTAATAGTTTTACAAAAAATCGTTTGCGGTATTTTTCAACAGCTTATTTTTCACATCTTCGGCATCGAAAAAGCAAATAGTCTAGGCCCCCGAATTAAAAGGTGGTGGACGACGATTCGTCGCCACTAGTGCAGAAGCTGTTTTCTCTTTCTTTTTCGCGTGCCTTCGTGGTGTAACTAGAAGCACACTTGGCGCGTCGGGAGGTCGAAAGTTCAAATACCGATGGTGAACCACCTTTGCCTGTTATGGGAATGGACAAATACAAATTCTTCGGAATTCGAATCCGTGCCCTTTGGAATAGTAGTCGGCTTCCCTAACAACTATACCGTTCGGGCGACCCATGGTGATCCAGAGCTATCCATTTTTAAACTAATAAACGCAACTGCATCTTCTAGTTGTCTAGAAAAATTTTCACATTTTAAAACTTATATTTCTAAAGATGTAAGGCAAAGTCTACAATGCCTAAATCAGTGAAAGCTTTGGCAGTTTTGATCTAAAATTACGTTGAAAACTATAACAAGAATTGTTCAAACCTTACTTTTAGCAGCAGTATTGAGAAACGCACTTCTTTTTATTTCCCTATGAAACTTTCCGTCAATAAAATCCTTCAATAGGACGTAAATTTTCTGAAAGATCTCACCGATGCATTAAATTCCCTTTATTTTAAGCTTTTGTTTACTAAAATCGGATGGCAACAGGAGCTCGCTTTCCACGGTAAGCTTTATAGAGCTACATGACTGCTAACACATTATTTGAAACGGCCTTTTAGAGGAAGTGCTCTTGCTTAATTTTTAAGCCCTTGATCTCTGATTCATTATAGAGATAAATATCTCATGCTTTTTATACATATTCAATATAATATATTCACTAATGTTATAATTCAGTTTGAGAGTCAAACAATTTTTTTTTCCCTCGAGTAAGGACAGATTTTTCTTGCGGGACTGGAAATACCCCCAGGAGTCTGTGGCCTTGCATTTATAAATATCGCATAGTTTGGGCTTTATTGATTTTTTTATTTGGTACATTTTTCCTGCGAAATATCAGGATAAATTATTATATTAATTAAATTATCACATTTTTCAATTAATTTAGGTATTTGATTTTTATTATATACATTTTTTATTTAAATTTTTCGCTCATATTTCCCTTTTTTCTCGTCAGTTGAACTTTTCGAGTATCTAAAATCTGTTAGAATAGGTGTATCTGGCACAGTAAGAAGCAATAGTAAAGGCTTTGCCAATTCTAACCCAAGATGTTGGTTTCGCAATAAACGCTAGCTCTGAAAAGTAACACAATAAAGAAAGTCTACCCGACGTTACTTCGGTAACTTCTAAAATGAGAGATAGTACGACACGTCACAAGACACAATTTAATTACATAGAAAACCTACATTAAACGTTCAGACATTTTTCTGATTACATCTGGTTACAAGGCAATTACAACTTGTTGCTATGTTCTAAAGCTATTATACACAAAAGTTCATCATGTGATGTCAGTCTTTTACTCGTGTCGTTTGGCGAATAAAATGGTGCCATTCCCAACACAGATAAAACTTTGAAAAGGGAAGATTTTGACTTTTTTATTACAGACAAAGTGATTTCCTATTTCAGATGGAGAGACGATGGTTCTGTAGTTTTTTTATCAAATTGTAGAAACATTAGGTTAATTGGTAAACCCGGAGAGATTAGAAATGAACAAACTCCTTCGCCGGGAATCGAACCACGGACCTCTGGAATATCGGCCCAGCGTGTAGAACCACTAAACCACGAAGGCTCGCGAAGAAGGTGGGAGAAATACCTTTTATATTCCCCCTTCTAAAGGGCGACTACGGTTTTAGGGGACCCAATCGCCAAATCCTGGGTGGGGAGAAATCCTCATCCATCACCCTTTTAGTTTGGGCGCCACTGTAGAGACATTAGGTATTTTTTGGAAGCAAGCGAGATGAAAATGAGCAACCGCCTTCGCCAGGAATCGAACCATGGACCTCTGGAATACCAGCCCAGTGTGCAGAACCACTACACCACGAAGGCTTGCCAAGAAGGTGGAAGAAATACCTTATAAAATTACCATGGAACCGAGACATGTACTGTTTCAAAAATCCAAAAGAACGATTCCAAGCTCGATCTTGTCGCCCCTATAGTAAGTAGTCAGGGATTACAATAGCCGCGTGGACAAAAGTTGTTGACAAAAGTGACATGTTGAAATCTTTGAAAATCTTTGTATAAAAATAGAAAATTTTAAAAAAATAAATGGTGGCATCGCCTTTTTTTAGAATTTAGGAAATCACTGTTGTCGTTCGTATGCAGTGTATTGAGAAAATTGGTTGAGAAACTGTCCTTGCTTCCTTACCTTAAGGGGTGTTGGTACCCCAAAATCTTCAAAAAATTGTCATTTCGGATTTTTCCATTTTCAAATTCTTTACACTTTTATCTTTCTAAAAATACCATTTTTTAATCTCTATGAAAATCAGAACTGTAAAAAATCTGGTTTTAACTTGTCCTCGACTGCTTTGATCAGTGAGGATTTTTACATAAAAACGCGTTTCTCTCCAAACATGATTCTTTTATACACGATGTACCTTTTCTTAGGAACTACTGCTCATATGTACCTAAAATATTTATGCCTTATTTATTAGGTTTCCTAATACGTACTGAAATGAGCTTTTTGAGATAAACTTTAAAAAAAAATATGTGAGAAAGTGCTAAATTTTACTATGCCTAACAAAATATTCTGTTAATTACTCTAAAATTCAAAATGTTTCAAAAGCTCATTTCAGTATAATCAGATAAATATACCTTAATTACACAAAAATTTCAAGCGTTTATCTACAGCAGATTTTAAGAAAAGGTACATCGAGAATAGCCAGTTTAACATTGTAGGTAAAGGGGATGCTGATACCCTTTAAGGTACATTGGGTACTACGATTGCCTTAATGCGAGAGAAGAGTTTCAACGACTCACTACGTCGCCATCTACTATTCCCAAGAAATGAGGAAGACCAGATCCCTTCTATGAACCTTCTATTCTACCATCTGCGCCGAAGCGTAAGGGTATGGCCCAACCGAGAAGTTTTGGGTATCTGAGGGTATTAGAAAACAAAATAAAGGAGCATACCGGCCAGTTTTTGTTAAATCCAAAGACGTTGTGAATTATCTTTATCAAAACAGATTGAATCAAAGTCATATTCTCGATATCACTTATGCAAAATTCTCCTCTATGTATATGAAAAAAAAACTGTTGTTCCTAACTAAGAGATATAATACTCTCTAGGAAACGCTTATTTAAGTATGTTAGTCGTGAAATCCAACTCAGGAAATATCATTACTGATTAATGGATTTCGTGTGTCCACTGTCTGATGTAATTTGCCTTCTACTGAGAGATTACGCACGCTACTCTAAACAGAATTTTATTATCTAATGTTTTTGGAGTACAAATTCATTCCGAAGTATTAAAAATTTTCATACACGTTTAAAGTTCAGTACCTAAGTTATCGGTTACATTTTAACTTTAAATAACCAGTCATTTCAAAGTAATAGTAGAGACTCTCAGACTACTAATTAATTAGTTTAAAGTAAACTAACTTATTAACACATCGACCTGATGATTACACAAAATCAAAAGTATAACAGGAACAGAACTCCTTTGACTTCCGGGTGACCAAAACACATGGTTTAGATCAAGTTGTAGAGCAGGAAATTACACAGGAGAAGGGTTAAAGTAGCCTTTATTAAATCTTTGAAAAATTTACAATGCGTCAACTTGACGCTAACAAAACTTCGCCTCTGTTTGGGCGGTAACTGAAAGTCAGATAATTGAAACTAAAAGTTGAAATATTAAAAAGTGATAAAACTAACCTATAGGGCTCAGTGAGGTCTCGTAACTTCAACCCCCTTCTAAGCTAGTGGCAGCAAAGCAATGCAATTAAGCCACTTGAACAGCAATAAGCAAACGTACCTACGGCAGAGACGGCAGCTAGAGCCTAACTCTCCCTTTCTCCTACCGAAACTCGGCTTTTAACTACTTCCTTTAAAATGGAAAATTTGCATTCGTTCACGCGCGCTACAACATCTAACTATTCTGGCACTGACAATTAGGGAAATGAAAGCTTACAGGAAAGGTCTAAACTGAAACTTTAAATTGTCAGTTAAAATAAATATAAGTCCCTACAAAGTGAAGGCGAAATACAAAATTAAGACATCTTGACACGACCCTAAATGTCCCGAAGCAAAAGCGGCTTGCAAACGCTGAAGTCATTTAATTTAATTCAACAAGCAGAGTAACAATCAGCCTATGCTACCATGCGCTGTCTAAAAACTTAAGGACTCTTAGCTTATACTTTAAGTTTGGTTTGGTTTGTGCGATTATGGCAAAGCCTCGAGCGCTATCTGCCTAAGAGGAGGGACGTCTTCGTGCAGGACTTTCTAAGGGAAACTGGCTCGTATGCATGTTACACATGGGGAAAACCACGAAAACAACCTATGCAGCCAGCCCGTTCACCGGATTCGAAACTCGGAGCTTATACTTTAAACAATTTGAGTTCTGGCGGAAGTTGGCGAAAGTAGAAATGATAGCAAACCGAAGGTAATGAGATAAGTATTTAATCATAATGGGACCTTAGGTGACCTTAAGTGAAAGAAGCACCGTATGCAGAAATTAAATACAAAAATTTTAAATCTATCAGAAAACATTGCACATATCTTATTTGATTTTAATTTATCCTGAAATTTCTATCACATGCACTGTCCATTAGAAGAACATAATCATTCTTTGATTATACACTGCTCGACATTGAAAATGCAACACCAAGAAGGAGTGGTCAGAAATTTATGCAAATTTTAGAGTAGACGCACCTCACTGAGTTATGCGAATGATGTGAAATGCGCAGCTCTCCGACGCACGTGCAGGGAAGGAACCTGCAGAATGGGCAATATTCGTATCTTTATCTCTTCCAGACGAATTACCGAAGAAAGTTGGTTTTTGTCCCGGAGGATACGCGTAATAGGAGAGAATGGCCAGGCCGCCGTCTACGAAGGCACTTCCAGCAGATAGACGATTTTAGGAGGGGTATGGTGATCGGACTGAGAAGGGCGGGTTGGTCCTTACGTCAAATCACAGCTGATACCCACATGGATGCAAGCACGGTGCATCGGTTGTGGCGAACATGGTTGGAACAAGGAACTGTGGGAAGAAGGATGGGTGCAGGTGCAGCCAGAATGACGTCAGCATGCGTGGATCGACGCATCCACAGACAAGCTGTGGCGGTCCCGCAAGTCACTTTTACCGCGATTCTGCAGCATATGCAAGATACCCTGGATGTTCCCGTGTCGACCAGAACCATTTCCCGTCGATTGGTTGAACGTGGCCTGCACTTACGGCGTCCGTTAAGAAGACTGCCATTGACCCCACAGCATAGACGCCAACGTTTAGAATGGTGCCGGACTGGAGCAATGTGGATGACAGAATGGCGTAACGTCGTGTTCTCAGATGAGTCACGCTTCTGTTTATCCAATGACAGTCCCCGCATACATGTGTGGCGTCGACGTGGAGACAGATCTAATCCGGCAGTAACTGTGGAACGCCCCACCGCGCGACAACGTGGGATAATGGTTTGGGACGCTATTGCCTACGATTCCAGGTCACCTCTAGTTCGTATTCAGGGCTCTATGACGGCCCAACTATTCTTGGATAATGTACTGCGGCCGGTGGCAATCCTCTACCTTCAGGGACTGCCTAATGCAATGTTTCAGCAGGGTAACGCAAGACCACACAGTGCTCGCATCTGCCAACATGCTCTGCAAGGTATACAGATGCTTCCTTGGCCACCATACTTTCCTGACTTGTCACCAATCGAACATTTGTGGGATGTGATTGGACGCCGTTTGCAGACTCTGCCGCAGCCTCGTTCAGAAGACGAACTGTGGCAAATGGTTGAAAGGGAATGGAGAGCCATCCCTCAAGACACCATCCGCACTCTTATTGACTCTATGCCTAGACGTGTTTCTTCGTGCATCGCTGTCCGCGGTGGTCCTACATCCGACGCCGTTCTCGCTCTGTATTCTGACTATCATTTTGAAATAAAGATCACTTATTGCTGCTCGCTTGAAACTTATTGCTGCTCGCTTGAAAACTGCTCGCTTGGAGAAAAGACTATCTCTGTCTTTTCTCCAAATTTCATCACTTTCTGACCACTCCTTTTTGATGTTGCATTTTCAATGTCGAGCAGTGTATTTGTAACACATTCATTATCCAACTTGTAATAGGATTATTTTATTAACTAAAATTGAAATTAAATTTTAATTATTTTTCAACTTTCAGTTTGTGTTAATTCTCATCTCAAGAGGAAACACGATATCATTCTCTAAGGTTTCATGTTAACAAACACAGTTATCTTTGCACAGTTATTAGGTTTTTTTTTTTTTCAAGCAGGGGATGTGAAAATGTGCAATGCCCTCGCCGGGGGTCGAATCCTGAATCTCTCGAATACGCGTCGAATATGCTTCCATTGTACCACGAAGCCATTCAAAGTAAGGAGAGGGAAAATTCCTTATATACTTCTTCTTTTAAAGGTGTCGACAGATCCTGGTGGTAACGAATTATCGCCCGCCACCTTTTAGTTTGGGAGCATCTTGTAGGGTCATTAAGTTTTTATTGACACAGGACACGTGAAAAATGTGCAGTGCTCTCGCCGAGACTCGAACCCTGGATCTCTCAAATACACATCGAGTATGCTTCCGATTGCACCACGAAGACATGCGGAAAGGAGGGCGAAAATATTTTATATCTTATTTGTTTGCTGTGCTTTTACTTCTGCTTTGTGAACCTCATCAGAATACAAATTAGATAAAGCATAAATGAATACAGGTTTCAAGAGAGAGACTTTCTTTATTTTTAGATTTTGCATAGCCAATAGTTTGACGTGTTAATAAAAGGTTTTACCATTCAGCATAACTTCAACATTCAGTCTTAATTCCTCACAAGTAGAATAGTTTGTTTCTATTATATTTTCAGGTTTTGTGAAACCGACAATTTGGCGTATTAATGAAAAGGTTTTATTTTAAATATATAGTAAAATAGAGTAGAATTGTAGGAAGAAAACTCTTTACCATCTTATAATTTCTTTTTACTATCGTACAGTTATTCTTTACTATATTATAGTTTCTAATATTCGATTATAGTGTAGATCGCATCCACAGGGTAAAAAGGTACTGTGTTCTACAATTATCTATGCATAACCCTGTAGCGACATTAGGAATTTTTGAAGAAAGAATACATGAAAAATATGCCATGCTCTCTCTGGGACTTGAATCCCGGACCTTTCGAATACGCGACGAGTGTGCTAACCGTTACACCACGAAGGCATGCAGAAGAGGGAGAAAATACCATATATACTCCCCCTTTTAAAGGGCGACTCGGGATTAGGGGACCCAATCACCAAATCTTGATGGTGAAGAATCATCATACGCTACATTTTAGTTCGGACGCCACCGTAGAGTCATTAGGATTTTTCGAAGCAACAGTACATGAAAAATATGAAATGCTCTCACCGGGACTCGAATCACGGACCTCTCGAATACATGCCGAGTGTGCTAATCGTTACACCACGAAGACATGCAAAATGGTGGGAGAAAATACTTTTTAACCCAATCATGTACTTCAGTCAAACTAAATAAACAGCATAATTTTTCGAAGTCTCATTTAAAATTGTCCTTTTTATTCGTTACTCAGTCTGTTAATTAATAACTAATTAATTTATTACTAATTACCCGTGAAAATGTCTTTCTTCTGCTATAAAATACGTGTGTATGTGTTAAAATTCATAAGCATAAATTATAATGCACATTTAAATATTATGTTAATCTGCAGTATAAAAAATATTTCTTCTAGAAGAACATCTATAATTAGATATTTTCTTCGTATTTCCCAGGAACGAAAATTCAAAGGAGGAAGTCAACAAATTAGCGAAAAAATCGCTGAAAAGTTAGGAGGTAAACGATTATTCCTTTATTATTATTCTGATTATTGTTCTGAATTTTCCTAGATCAATTGAAAAATTCAATTTATATGTATGATAACAGATGGAGTTGTAGTTATAAACAGTCCAGTGGTTGAAATTGATCAAGAAGCCAAGGATATAGTTTTAGTAAAAACATTAAGCGGTAAAGAATATAAGGTAAGTAAAAGAAAACGTATGTTCATTTTTGTTATAATCTTAAATGTGCATACAAAAGAACACATAATATTGTCCAAATGCATGCCAAAGCCTTTGTACCGTAATTTGTGCTGTCTTTCGGAAAATTAATTAGATTAATAAAGATAGGTTAATTTGATAATTATTATTAATGCGAAGTCATTCAGAGATTACAAGATATTTCAAGAACATTTTCTTTCAGAATTCTGCCCTAATAAACAATACCGATTAGCTGCTACCAAACGTTTCATAAACATACGTGATGATAAGCTGATATAATCACGTACACTGCGAAAAAAATGGGACAGCTCTATATCTCCCGTTCTACCGGGCCAATTGACAAAATTCAAATTTCGTTTTTCATGTCTCGAAAGCGCGACTTAGGATATCCCCCATAGCACAAAACATCCTCAGGATGTCCTATTTAAGTCGCAATATCCCGGGACATACTTAGGATGTCCTAAGGATGTTGATTCTCAGATGTCCTGAGGAGATCGTAATTTAACATCCTGAGGATGTCTTATTTAAGTCGCTATGTCCCGGGATATGACAGGATGTCCTGAAGATGTTGACTTTCAGATGTCCTGAGGAGTTCACCAATTTCACATCCTGAGGACATTCATTCTGCATTGTCCGGAGGACTTTCGTTGTCAAACATTTTGAGGATATTTGTTCTCAAATTTACCAGTTTTAATTTTTTGACATTGCACATCTGAACCTTGCACATTATTTTATTTTTCATATGTATTTTACTAAGTTGTTTCTAAATGCTGTACATTAAAAAATATGATATGATTGATGATTTATTCTTGTTATTTTGTTATTAATTATAACTGCTATTTTTTCTGACATTTTTAAAAATTTATTTAGTCATGGAAAAGATTTTTTTCAATGGATTAGCATTTTCTAGAATATTTGCAAAATTCTAAATAACATATTTTTTTTTTATAAAAAAATGTATAAATTACATGTATAATTACTTACAGATTACAAACCCTACTACAAATATAGGTAAAATTAGATATAGATATATTTAATTACGGAAACGATTTTTTTTTTTTAATAATTTGGGTATAGAGACATTAGGTATTTTTTTCGAAGCAGGAAACATGAAAAATTAGCAACTGCTTTCGCCGGGAATCGAAGAACGGACCTCTGGAATACCGGCCCAGTGTGCAGAACCACTACACCACGAAGACACGCTAGTTGTGGTGGTGGTGGTATATTTAATTATGGCAAAGCACACTAGGGCTATCTGCCTAAGGGGAGGGATGTCTTCGTGGAGGACTTTCTAAGGGAAACTGGCTCGTATACACGTTACATGTGGGGAAAACCACGAAAACACCCATGCAGCCAGCCCGTTCGCGGGATTCGAACCTCGGATCGCACTACCAGGGTTCAGCGACTTTACCGCTCGGCCGCTGGTGGGCCGAAGACACGCTAGGAAAGCGGGAGAAATACCTTATATTACGTCTCTTTTTAAAGGCCGACTTTTTTTTAAGGGGATCCGATCACTAAATCCTGGGTGTGGATATACCTCATCCAACACCTTTATTTCGGGCGCCACTGTAGTAGAGACATTAGGATTTTTTTGGGAAGCCGTAGAGATAAAAAATTAGCAACCGCCTTCGCCGTGAATCGAACCACGGACCTCTGAAAATACCGGCCCAGCGTGCAGAACTATTACACCACGAAGGCACGCTAGGAAAGCGGGAGAAATACCTCATAAGGAAAATTTTTTTCCTCTAAGTACAGGACAGAAAATGTTTTTCAATCGCGCGATCTGTTACTGATATTGAATTGCAGTCGTGCGATAATTTCGCAGTAAGCAGTAAAGATACATCTCTGATGACTATCCAAGATTCTAGAAACTTTGGTCTTATATAGAGATGGTCGTCTTATAGAAATAATGCTTAATATCAATATTTATTTATAATCTCAGAACTATTGGTCACTTTCAGAAGTGGTCGTTTGAGAGGCGATATTCTATATATTTATTTACTGATACTCTCAGATTCCAAAATTTGTTTATATTCTCAGAAATATTGGACGGAAGGTGGTCGTCCCATACATGCAAAATTTTACATTTCATTAAAAATGAATTCGGCATTATTTAACTATTTCCCTATTAATTAATTAATTAGATAAACTAAAAATTAGGAATAGTACTGTTTATTACGGAATAATGTAGGAAGTTCTACAGAACTATATTCTTTCGCGTCATTGCACATTGTATCCGGCAAACTACTAGTTCCTCGTATTCTTCCGCAAATCCGTAAACATCTGTCTGATTTGAAACGAAATCCAAAATGGCTGCGCCATGAGGTTAACTTGTATGGATATTTTTTGTTGCATGAAAGGTAAGTTCAGTTGCAATACTTGTATGTTTACTTTTTTTGCTTTTCGAAATTTATGTCATTTGACAGTTAAATGTTTCACAGCTTTATGAATTGTTACCATTCTGTCGTGAATTACGTGTATCTCAATGGCTGGCTGTCTTTTCAAATATCTAATTTGCCCTGCTATCCAAATGTTTATGACTGAATTTTTTTTAGTCCAGTTTATGCATTCAGTTTCAAAATAATATGTGTGATCAGATTGCTTATTATTTTATTGCAGCAATAAATTTATGTTAAATAGTTTGAACAATTGTATAAAAATAAGAGTTTGCATTGTTTTGTCCAAAATATGTATGGTTGAAACATTATCTTAATCTAGTTTGTAATTCAAGTTTTTTGGGGGTACTGTTCTGTTATTGGGACCAGAATCGGAAATGTATGAACCTGTGTTCGTAAGTATGTGCATAGATGTGTATATGTAGACACACAAACATACACAATATACAAGCATACATAAATACAATTCTGAACCCGGTCCTGATAACAGAACAGTACCTTTTTTTAATCTTTTTTGAATATTTTATAAAAGGATTAAGCATTTTTCAAACTGCATATCATTTTAAGATTCGACTTGCAGGAAGACAAAATATGGTCATTCAATCAAATGCTTATGATTGCTTTTAACATTTTCTCATAAATATTGTTTGCATTTTTATTGTATTTTAGATACTTTAGTTATGTAAAGTGAACATGAGAATATTAGGAAAAGCTGAAGAATATGAATAGCTACCATAATACATGTATTTTTTCATCGAGCCCATTGTTTTAGAAACCAATGCACCATTATTATATGCTGGCTTATTTTATAGTTATATGCAGTTTAATTTTTAATTTTATGTTCATGTTACTGTAGTATTGTCATTATAATAAAAGTATTGATAATTTTTGTTGAATCTTGCAAGTTGCCTAACATTCAGAATTATTACTACCGAATTTTACTGATAGGTTTTTTCGAGTTGACATAATCTGTCTGATAAATAAAATAAACTGGTGTTTAAATTATATGCATTTCTCTTAATGTTTCATTGAAAGTGAGATGGAAATATAAATGCTATCCAGAAAAAAAGTGAATTCTTTTTGCCTGAAATAACAAACTGTACTAAATGATTAATGTTTATATCATTTTAGAAATGTCAATATTAAAGTTTCTCCCCCTTCTCTTCTTTGATTTTGAAATAATTTATAATAAAATAATATATGCATAAGTGTAATTAATGTAAAGTGTCATTCAATAATATAATTTATTTTTACTGATATTTTTATATTTCTTATCTGGGTTTTCTTTTGGTGTTAGAAGGAGGAAAAGACTGTAATGTTTTAATTAAGAAAGAAATAATTAAAACATTACAGTCTTTTAAATAACACAGTTACAGTAATGTTTATTGAAGCAATCAGTACTGTGTGATTGCCAGTGATTGAATAATGTTAAAATGCATTGTTCATAAGGAAATTTGCTTATCTTTGTGTTATAGATTTTATTTTGACACAAGCTGAAATTTTAATTATTGGAAGCACTTTGAAAACCCGAATTATTTCCTGAATCATTAATCAGGCCAATATATAACATACAAATTTTCATACAAAATTACTTCTTTGAGCATATTATAAAGAGCTCATTTAATTTATTTATTTGTACAAATTTTAGACAAAAGTAGCATGTAACAGTTAAAGATTTATTGAAGCCTACTTGTTACTTGTGGTAACAAAGAAGTGTGAAAGATATTGCCACATTAGCGAACATGACGATCATTGATGCTTAGTTTAGTAATTTAATAATATATTGAGAAATGCTGGGAACTTTCAGAAGTAGACATTTCGGAAATGATGGGCTTGATAAGAAATTTACATGGTTTTTATTATTTATTCTTTAGTTAAGAATGGATTTTAGATGTTCATGTGAAAGAATTCTGTTTAATTATATGTGAAAGAATTGTTAAAGTTTGGCATTTAAAAAATGAATTAATAATATGCAATTATCTTTTTATTATACATATATTACTATATATTTCTAATGCGCTATGTAAATGTCAGTGCTAAACAATTGAGATACTATTGTCAGGGCAATCTTTTCTTATACATGAAAAATTCTGATACTTTCTTATCATCTGCCCTCACAGCTTCAACTTATGCTAAAACAGCAAGAGTATGCACACGATAATAGCAAACCATGAATATGCATACCACACACATGTATTTACATGCTTTATATTTAATCTTTATTTCTGAATAGTATTCCATTGGATGAAAAATATGTGAATATTGACCCAATGTATATTTTTGTGTGTGTGCATCCTAAAATTTCTTGTTTCTTATAAAGTGCTTATTTGAATTACTACTTGTGAACAGAGCAGTAGATATGAACCATAAACTAACCATTTTGCCAATTTTCACAGCTTTGCAGATAGTCAGAAAGCACCAAAATTTGTAATAATGTTAAGTTTAAATGATGTTCTATACTTTTGTGTTAATTTTTCTATTCTATTAATTCTATTACTGTGTTATCAAACTTTCTGCAGGAATTTCAACTGGTTAAGATGTTATTACCATGTGGAGAAGAATTTGGTTTTCAAGCTAGAAAAAATT